CCCCAAAACCCCAAAACCCCAAAACCCCTTATTTCTATCTAAATATTGAATAAAATGAAGTCTGCAAATTTAAAAAGAATCTTAATCAATGGGAACTGCACTACATCTTCTAAAATACTTGACTTATAAGGTAACAACCGGCTTCTTTGTGGAGACTATTGCATTTCCACTATCTTCTTTATTTTCTTCCAACAAAGGCTTCTTTGCTTCTTCATCTCTTTGAGGATAGAGGTAGTAGTGTTGAATCATGAATATTATGTCAAAGAAAATTGATAAAACTCCTAGTAAAAATTTAATGATGTTGAATGAATCCCCACTTCCAAAGAAGTTGCAGTTGCCTCTTGTTAAATTGCAATAAGTATTATCGATTACTTCTTGAGCAATACTGAACGCCCCTCCTGTAAAATCACATAAAATGTTGAAGATACTCCATCCTACTGTGCTTTTTCTTTTCCAGTTGAGATAAACTTGAGGCATATACTTAAGTAAAGTTATCAAAGCTTTGTTGTATCCAGCCACTCTGAAAGTATTGAAACCAGGAGGGATATCCTTGAGCTGAAAAACTCCTTCCATAAGGAACACAGTGCAGAAGCAGGTTATTTCGATAACAAGTAAATATTTTACCCAAGACCTGAACTTCGTCTGAGTACCTCTATCGTATATAAAAACTTGTGCTCACTGGCAGCCACAGAGCAAAAAAGCATTGAGTGCAAAGAAGAGGTCATTTACTCCAACATTTCCTGTACCTAGATATGGGTATACGAACCCTCCTACTGAATATCAAGTGTAGAAGAAGAAACCAACCACGTTCAAAATTGCGAAATCAATTGAAAACCCAGCAACTGATTTCCTCTTCCAGTTCAGGTACACCTGAGGGTAGAAGGAGATCGACCACGCACAGAAGTATATCCAGCCGAACACTTCAGAGATGTATACAAGATACCAGTAGGGGTCGACCATTTTATTTTATATTATTTAAACCAATATCTGAGTAAAGACCCGGGGTTTTGGGGTTTTGGGGTTTTGGGGTTTTGGGGTTTTGGGG